ACGTTGCTTGCAATATGCGCTTCCCTGGGTCTGTACCGCCTCCTCCTCCCTCCCTCTGTAAGACCCAGGGAAGCGCATACTGCAAGCAACGTGGTTTCCCCCTTCCCGGTGCCGCTGGATTTTCTGTTTCAAGTTTGTTTCCCAGCCCTTTGCTCCAACATGCGCCGGCAAAACGCCTGCTCTGCTCGGCTGGGGCTCAGGACCACCACCCAAAGGGCAGAAGTACGCCGTTGACATGGGCAAGCTAGCCGCCTTCTCCCTTCAATGTGCTTTTGGTCCTCCCTAGGCTCTCTGGCATCTCTGGTCCATGCGCTGGGTCATTTCCTTCCCACTGAGCCCCCCCTGCAGGCCACAGGGACGGATCTCTGAGCGAAACTTTGCAAAGAGCATCTTGGTGTTAAGCGAGATCCGGGTGAGGCTTGAAGTGATTCTCTGAGATCCTAACGGATGTGGCTGGCCGCAGTTGCCGATCCTTGCGCGCCAGACATGCACGCTTCTGATTCACCAATGCGCTGGCCGGTCCTTGCAGGTCTCTCAAGGTGGGGGGGCGGGAGGGTGAGACCGTGAATGTCGGCCTTGTGCATGCAAACCGAGTGGCGTCCCTTATGGGACTGTGTTTCCATCAGAGTGTATATTAGCCAAGAAATCAATGGCTCAAAAGTAACTTGTGCCCAATAAACAGGGTTGGAGGGGGGGCACGGACACATTGTGAATGCATTTCTCCCCCCAGTGAGTGTGGAGAAAGTAATTTATGGCGCATGAGGCTATTCAGATTGACTTCTAATGAGAAAGAAGTAAATGGAGGCTGTTTCCCTCTGAGGCTTTGCTTGCTCTAAGAAAGGCGTTCCAGTTCTGCAAATGGATTGCGCCTCGAAACAGGAACTTTCTCTGCACCCCTCCCCATTTTCCTTCCCACCCTCTCCTTCAAAGACACCCCCCCTCGGCTTTTGGCAAAGTACTTTGCTCCTGTGACCATCTGCAGATTAAGTTTGCAAACGGAAGCGATGTTTGACCTCTGGGCTTTTGCGGCATTGGATAAAAGGCGATTATTTGGTGCTCCGAAGGAGAGGGGCAAATCAGATAGGTGGCTGAATGCTATTTTATATAAGTTTAAATTAATAAGTGGAGCTGCTTGATAGCTGCAGAGGTTACAAACAGAGAGCTGTGCGTTCTTGGCTCTCTCCCCGCAACACCCCCAAGCACTTAGTTTTGGGAAACGTTTCAACCACTTAAGGAAAGGCAAACCCACCTCAAATGGGTTTTTCCCTCCTTCTTGATTTGTCTTTCCCCCCCCTCCCATTGTGTTCCATTATGCTTTAAACTACCATTATCCTGCAACTTCTGAGAGCGAATGTGCTACTCAGCAAAATTATGATTCCTTGAAACTAGGCAGTTCCTAATGGAATTCTGAATAGCGCTTTTAAAAGCCGTTTGCACAAACGGCCTCCCTCGCCGTCAGGGCGCAGGGGGCGCCTCCGAACCTCTCATCGAAATGTGCGGACGCGTCCCTGCCTCTCTGCCGCTCCAAAAGGAGCCTGCCCCGGGCAGCTGTTTTTAAATATAATCTTTATCCTGATCCTTGGTGGTTTGGAAAAAAGAGTAAAATAAGGTGGGGGGGGGGAGAGGAAAGGGGGGGGGAACCGCTGCATACTAAGCGCTCCTGTCTAATTACCGCTTTTGGCTGTAGCACTGCCCAACTCTCTGGGGCTGGCTTTCAAACGGCAGCCGTTCCTTCCTATAGCTCCGCCGGTTCATATAGTTCAGCTAGTTTACATCATAAAAGCAGTTGAGTTCTCGTTCTTATTTTGGCTGGAATACCAGAGCTTTAAATAATGAGTTGTGGCAGACTGCCGTTCTAAATTGCTTGATTCTGGGCAAGGCGGCAGTGGCCAATTTTGGCTTGGAAGGCTGCGAGTGTGGATTTGCATGGGAGAAGGGCAGGCAGAGGACATTAGTTCGGCCGGACTCCTCTATTGGAAGTTTGTCTCTCTCTCGTTCCCCCACATCACCTCTGGCCTGCTTGCTGGTTTTTCTTTAAATGGCACTTTGGATTACCGTCCTTGCGGGCATTGTCATTTGAGTGATATTTCTGGGAGGCGAGCAGGGCCTTAATGGGGGCCACGTCTCCAGGGTGCTTTGCGAGAGCCTGGTTGTTGGGATTCTGAGATTCAAGATTGATGGTCATTTTGCAAACACAAGAGTCACATTAGTAAAAGAGAAATATCTTTACTACAAAACAAAATTAAGCATGGGTAAGGTACTTTGGATAAAAGAAATAAAATGGAAGGTTACATACTTGCAGTTACTTTCAGTACTACTGTGTTAAGAGCTACATCTTTCTATCTGTCTTTCGACTTCTAGAGGGGAGCTTCCTGTGTGCTTCACACAAAGAGCCATAAACCTTGTGAATACATGAATGCTAGATCAAAGCATTTCCACAAACAAGTTGTTAGTTGACCAATACAAAGGTTACAGGTCACTTCATTAGGGTAAGCAACTCCCACAAACTTTCCCGCTGTAGAATGCTTTATGTAACGTAACATCCTGTTTCCTAACAAACAACACTTAACTCTATAATGACTGAAGTGTAAGCAACTTGAAACGCCAACACTGGTCCCCCTTAGGATTTCCCAAAGCTGATAAACTCCCTGACCATCTTTTGTACTTAATTGAGACAGAACAAGAAGCCCTCTTCCTGGCTTCCAGCCAACTTATCCCATGTTTCCCGGAAAGGTCCGTGGCTCGGTGATAGAGCATCTGCTTGGCACGCAGAAGGTCCCAGGTTCAATCTCTGGCACCTCCAGTTTAAAATGGGCCAGGCAATAGATGGTGTGGAAGACCTCAACCTGAGACCCTGGAAAGCCGCTGCCGGTCTGAGTAGACAGTTCTGACCCGGATGGACCGAGGGTCTGATTCAGGAGGCAGCTTTGTGTGTGTGTGTGTGCATCTGTCTCTGTTTCCACGCGTTTGGTTGCAGGAGCATAAAGTCTCCGGAGTGACTGACCAATCCTTGGGCACGTGGGGGGTTTAATGTCTTCAAGTATTTGTTATACAACGGAACACAGGAGGCTCCAGTCATATCGAAATAAATGCGGTCAGTCTTTAAGGTGCCCCGGGACTTCTGTTTTATCTTGCAGCCACAGACTAATGTGACGACCCCTCTGCGGTTACCTGCGGTGAGGTCTGCACTGTTTTATGCTTAGCTTCGGCTTTAGCTTGCTCCATTTCTGGCAGGCTCATCCGGGGGGATCTCGAGTCCCTTATCGTGCCATTCCACTTTGCCGATCTGCCCATCACGTTGTGAACTCCCAGTTTGGTTTACCTCCATCGTGCCATTCCACTTTGCCGATCTGCCCGTCACGTTGTGAACTCCCAGTTTGGCTTCCCTCCCCGTATCTGAGGAAGTGAACGGTGACTCAAGAAAGCACCCGTTTTGAAGTAGATATTGTTCGCCTTTACAAGGCCCGGCTACTTGCTTTATTTAACTCTTTCTTCTCACTGTAATGTTTTTGAATTCACTCCAATGACAAACCTGGTCCTTTGGGCCTCTGTCTGTTTGGTGTAGTGGTTGAAGTGTGCGGACTCTAATCTGGGTAGAACTGGGTTCGATTCCCCACTCCTCCACTTGCACCTGGCTGGATGACCTTGGGCAAAATTGTGGTCCCGGAAACATTTTTGTTCCTCCAGGGGGCAGAGTTGTGGGTTTTAACAGAGAGGTGCATGTCTCTCCTCAGCATCTATGCTTTACTCACTGGGAAAAAAGAGAACAGTGGTGGGAAAATTTTGTACAAAAAAATCCCTCCCTGGAAAGCAGGGGCTTTCCAGGTGGTTTCTCCTGGCAATGAGTTGGTTACTCCTGGCTGTTGAAATTCTGCTACCCAGCTGCGAATCTCACCGAGTGCTTATTGGTACCTGAGCCTTCCTCGCAGGGATGTTGTGAGTAGACAGTATCTTGGCAGTAACGGGCGGTTCTGCTTTTTTGGACTCTCTTGGTGGGTTGTTGTCTCCTGCGCTGGGAAATCCGTTTTGTTGGAGGTCTGCTAAAGTCTGAGCCTGGGCCAAACTGGTTTGGCGCTCGGTGAGCAAAAGGGATTGTAAACGAAGTATATAAGGCAAGCAGTGCGTTATGTTGGTTAAGCAGATTTTTCGAGAGAACGAGCTCCGCGGGGGTGTCGTAGTAAACAAAATGTGTGCGCTGCCAGCATTGATTTTGTACTTTTCAGCGTATTTAAGAGATTCTTCGCCTTGATGCTACCCCTGATGAGTTTAAAGGAAAGCATCCGAGGAGTTGGGATTAGTAAAGGTTAGTCCTCCTAAAACAAGGGGAGCTGCATTAGATCAGTTTGTGGCTTTTGAGAAACGAGCAGCGGGTTAGCGGGAGTCGGGGAAATCTGAATTCCTGAGCATGCCGTGTTTTGCAAATACCCCCCTTTTCCAGAATTGCTCACATTGCATGTCAAGGAAGCGATGCTGGTCTTAAAAAGAAACTTCCCGCACAAAATCCATCTCTTCGCCCTCCCACTGCTCCCGAGGAGAAACACAGATTTTTGCAACATGGGGGGAACAAGGGCGTTAACTATTTAACAGCTTGGTTTTCTTTCCGTAAAAAAAAGAGAGAATCCACTGGGAATGAGAAGAGGGAAGATGAGAAGAGCTTGCATTATTTAAGGGACGGAGAACAGCACAGGAGTGGATTCTCTGCTCTGGCGGAAGCCGGACTGGGCAGCCCACCTCTTCGGAAATGGGCTTAAAAAAAAAAAGGGCAGTGCCAGTAGCCAAGCTTGTCGATCCGGCAAGGCACTGTGGTAGAGAACATCGACCCGCTTGGGACCAGTGTTCCCTCTAAGCTGAGTTAGTGTGAGCTAGCTCACAGTTTTTTAGCCTCCAACTCACACATTCTTGTCGTTCAGGAAGGATGGCTCCAGAGCAAACTAATTTATGCAGCAGCCAAATCGCTCGCTCACAACTTTAATGCCAGGAGCTCAAAAGAACCCACAGTTTATAGGGAGTATTGCTTGGGAATTGGCAATATCCCACCTTTCTGCCTTCAGAAGGGGCCACCAAGTGCAGTTAGTACTTCATTTATGGGGAGCTGCGGTGGCTCAGAGGTTAAGACGCTGAGCTCCAGACCGGAAGGTCTGTAGTTTGGCAGTTTGAGACCCGAGTGCCGCGTGACAGAGTGAGCTCCCGTCTCTGGCCCCAGCTGCTGTCAACTGAGCAGTTCGAAAGCAAGGAAATACAACTAGATAAATAGGTACCACTTTGTTGGGAAGGTAACAGCATTCCGTGCGCTTTGGCGTTTAGTCATGCCGGCCACATAACCACAGAAAAAGTCTTCGGACAGCGCTGGCTCTTCTGCTTGGACACGGAGATGAGCACCGCCCCCTAGAGTCGGATTCGACTGGCTTTTGAGCAAGGGGAAACCTTTACCTTTTATACTTCATTTGTGTCCCAATGTTCTCCCCAATGGGGAGTCTCTGGCCAGCTTCTGTTGCGCTCTCCATTTTATCCTCTCGGCAATCATGTGAGGTTGGCCCAAGGTTACCTGGCAAATCTCCATGACAGAGTGGGATTCGAACCCGAGTCTCCCAGGTCCTAGTCCGACACTCTGGCCACACTGGGCACCCATCTGCAGGGCCAGATACTGCTCCCCCCAAGAGCTGTTGGGTCTTTCTCCTAATTCCCTTCCAACCTCATGCCTTTTCTCGGGGGTAGGTGGGATTGGTTGAACGAAGCAGGAGACAGTTTCACCCCTCCGGGTTCCACCTTCTCCCAGGGAGGGGGCCGTATGAGCTGGGTTAAGCCATTCCTATTCTCTCTGGCTTTAGAAGTCTCTGTCTCTCCTTGTCAGAAACTTGAAAGGTACATCCAGGAGAGTTTGGTAATGTGTACAGTTCAGATGCACTTGACAGGGACGCACGAGCCCACGAAGCTGCCTTATACTGAATGAAACATAAGAAAATAAGAAGAGAAGAGAAGTCAATGTTGGATCAAGCCAGTGGCTCATCCAGTCCAACACTCTGTGTCACACAGTGGCCAAAAATACCAGGTGCCATCAGGAGGTCCACCAGTGGGGCCAGGACACTAGGAGCCCTCCCACTGTTGCCCCCCCCCAGGACCAAAAATACAGGGCATCGCTTGCCCCAGACCGAGAGTTCCTGTAAGAACATAAGAGAAGCCAATGTTGGATCAGGCCAGTGGCCCATCCAGTCCAACACTCTGTCACACAGTGGCCAGAAATACCAGGGGCCATCAGGAGGTCCAGCAGTGGGGCCAGGACACTAGAAGCCCTCCCACTGTTGCCCCCCCCCCAGGACCAAGAATACAGAGCATCCCTTGCCCCAGACTGAGAGTTCCTCGGTCCATCCAGGTCAGTATTGTCTACTCAGACTGGCAGCAACTCTCCAGGGTCTCAGGTGGAGGTCTTTCCCATCACCTTTCAACTGGAGATGCCAGGGATTGAACTGGGGACCTTCTGTATGCCAAGCAGAGGCTTTTCCACTGACCCACAGCCCCTCTTTACCGCTCTCCAGGGTCTCAGGCCGAGGTCTTTCACATCACCTGCTGCCTGGTCCTTTCAACGGGAGATGCCTGGGATTGAGCCGGGGACCTTCCGCGTTCCAAGCAGAGGCTCTGCCACTGAGCTACAGCTCCTTCCCTTCCACAGATCTGTCCTGATTTCCTGTGGAGGATATGCTCACATTGTGACAAACCAGGAAGTGCCTCTGTGTAATGTGTGAATGAGCACAGATTAGGTTTTGGCCTGGTGGTTGGTCTTTGATTTGACAGGTTATTGGATCTCTGCTGTTTTGCAGGCAGTGTGAGGCTCCCAGTCTCTGAGATCTTTTTTCTTCTCTGCCTCTGTGGGGCAGGTGGCTTGGTCGCCCTCACAGCCTGCAATGTTCCCTCTAAGCTGTGGAGTCTTGTGAGCAAAAACTCTACTTTGTGAGCTACCGGCATTAAAGTTGTGAGCAGGCGATTTGGCTGCTGCATAAATTAGTTTGCTCTGGAGCCCTCCCTTCCTGAGCTGAGACAAAAATGTGTGAGCCAGAGGCTAAAAAACTATGAGCTAGCTCACATTAACTCAGCTTAGAGGGAACACTGCTCACAGGTGGAAAGTGACAAATTGGGAAGTGAGTGTAGATTTTGGGGTTTGGGTTCAAATCCTCACCGGGTGGCTGAGGT